ACACACACACACACACACACACACACACACACACACACACACACACACACACACGCGCGCGCGCATGTATATACACTCTGTACTCCATAACAGAATATACTCACATCTTATCACGAAATCCGTATCGATTACATTATTACCGCCTTGCATCTCTCTCCTCCTTGCCGAACCTCTTTGCGACCCTGGCCGCAGCCCGTCACCGACGAGCTACGTCCGCGCAAAGTGAGGTTGTTTCATGTTAATGTACAATCAGAACTGTAAGCAAACGGAATCCTCCCTTAAAAGCTAAGTACAATGAATACTATTGCGATCATTCATTTCGAAGTATCAGCCAACAATGTCCACTTTAGTATTCACTACACTATTGCTATTCATGGAGCACACGAACGCTACGCTATCACCACACTGCTCCTTTGGCGATAGTATTCGTAGCGCGAGTCATGACGTCAAACGCTACCAACAATAGCGTCACGATAGTGTTTCATAGTGCTATCAGTTGGCTCCCTAAACAGCGGTAGCGTTATATAGCACTGTTAGTGAGCTCCCTGAACGCATCCCTAGAGTCCCGTATAGGGACTCTAGATGCTCCCATGTAAAAGCACCTTATCGTGAGTTTAGCGTTCACCGTAATACACACGGTACTGCCAAAACTCCCTATTCCTGTATGTAATGTGCTGCGTACAATAATGTCCTGTGCACAATACGCCGTGTGCAATATGTTGTGTACAGTAACGTCCTGTGCGCAATATTGTCGTGTGTGCAATGTGCTGTGTACAATAATGTCGTGTGTGCAATACCGTCATTTGTGCAATATTGTCGTATGTGCAATACGTTGTGTACAATAATGTCGTGTGCGCAAAACGCCGTGTGCAATATGTTGTGTACAATAACGTCCTATGCGCAATATTGTCGTGTGTGGAATATTGTCATATGTGCAATATTGTCGTTTGTGCAATACGCTGTGTACAATAATATCGTGTGTGCAATGTATTGTGTACAATAATGTCGTGTGTGCAATACCATCATGTGTGCAATATTGTCCTGTGTGCAATACGCTGTGTACAATAATGTCGTGTGCGCAAAACGCCGTGTGCAATATTGTCGTGTGTGCAATACGCTGTGTACAATAATGCCGTGTGTGCAATGTGCTGTGTGCAATAATGTAGTGTGTGCAATACGCTGTGGACAATAATATCCTGTGCGCAATACGCCGTGTGCATTACGTTGTGTACAATAACGTCCTGTATGCAATATTGTCGTGTGTGCAATATCGTCATGTGTGCAATATTGTCGTGTGTGTAATACGCTGTGTACAATAATGTCGTGTCCGCAAAACGCCGTGTGCAATATTGTCGTGTGTGCAATGCGCTGTGTACAATAATGTCCTGTGTGCAATACGCTGTGTGCAATATTGCTCTGTGCAAACGAAGCTGTAGGCAATCGGGATTGTGATCAAACGGAGCCCTCCCCTGTTTTCACTAGTCTTTTAAGGTTATGTTGTAACCGAACTCGAAGCTTACCTGCGCTATTCGGTCCTCATCTCTCTTCTGTACCACGGTCGCCACTCCTTTTAACCTCCAAAGGAGAAGGTCTCGTCCTCGCAAGCGTTTCGCTACGACCCGGTCCTCTCGCGCAGCGGGGAGTCTCCCCCTGCGCGCCGCGTACGCTACGGGATGGGTTGCGGAAATCACTAACTTCCGGATTTGCAGGAACTCACAATGTTTATTTATTGAACACACAATGGTTTATTTTTACACTAGTGCGCCGCTCGCAGTTTGTCGCGATATCGCTCTCCGCGCGCACTTCCTCTTGCACACTTGGCGCAATTCGCTCGCTCGCCAATACCGAAATCGCACTTATGTCTCCTCGCGTAGTGCCGTTTCCGGCCACTCACACGCAATGTGCCTTTGCACTTGTGCCCTTTGGTCGGCACCTATCCTCCTAACTCGCCGAATGATTCGACGTAGTCATTCGTCGTCGGGAGGTTAGCCCCCGTTCGCTCTCGTGTTCGCGTCGATAGTAAGTCGCTTGGAACGGTCCCTGCCAAGTCTCGCTTAGCCCCCTTCCACTCTCGCACCCTTAGGATTCGAAGTGATCGCTTGGAACGGTCCCGCTAGCTCTCCTCTGATCCAACTGCTTGGAGGTGAGCCCCCGTTTGCTATCGCGTTCGCTCTATCCCATCGCTCAGAACGGTCCCACTCAAAAGCTCCACGAGTCCGCTCGCGCTCCTTCTTTTATTCGCGCCCGCGACTCCCCTCCATAGCACTCGCATATGCGTGTTCGCTTCGCGCGCTCTCAGCGCTTACAACGCTAGTCGTGCTTATTTGCTATATTCATTCCTACAATTTTATGATTATATAATTTTTACTTAGTTTTCTCTTTATTTTCAGGTACATCGCTTCGCCCCAGAGATGCAGCCGCTCGTCTTCTCCCGCTGGAGTTACAGGTAAGTTCCTAGTCCTAATATTTACAAATTATTTTCCCTTAGCAGCTGTATCCCCTTCTTTATATACATTATTATATATACATTCTCCTATACGATTTCGCCCGTGATCTTCTATTTTATTTTTGGTCATCCGGTACATTGGGTCGGCTTTGGCCTAGCCTCTATGTCGCGCTTCGTTCCCTATGGTCTATTCCGGCCGCACTTCCGGCTGTCGCTCTTTTCCGTGTCTCGCGACGAGATTTCTTGGGCACCCGGTATCTTCGGGACGGTCCTGCTCGGTGATCGCGTCGCTTTCCATACCTTATTCGCTATAACGGTCGCGTTTTTCGCTAGCTTACAATTTATTGTTCCCTAACAGGATTTCGGACACACCCGGTATGTTCCGTTTGCTTTGATTTTGTGGTTCTTTGATTTTTCGCTCCTCTGAGGTCATAGGTAACGATAGCGGTCCGGTTTTCCGATCTCGCGATCCCTTTTATATTAATTGGTTATTTCGCGGACCCCCTGTATTTCCGGTCCCTTTTGCGCGTTGCCGTCTGGCATGCTCGCGACGCGTTCTTTTTTAGCGTTTCGGTTTTTCCGAAACCATTGAGGCTGAATGCCTCAAACAAAACAAATTCCTTTTAATTTTTATCGGCTTTTGTAATTAGCCGTTCATCGCGGATTTCGTTATCATCGCGGATGATATTAGTAGATTTATTATTAATTACAGTTTCATTTATTGTAGTTAACGTTGAATTTGCCCAAGATCGTCTTGCTATACCGGAAGAAAATGCAACTGTACAAACCGCACAAAAAGAAAATTATACTGAGACAGATTTGTGGAATGGTAATACATATATTCTTTGTTAAGAAAAGGCTAATGATGATTGGAGTAATGAAAGCATCGGATCGATCTTTATTCTAACTAAATAATAACGTTTTTGGAAAAATATTTCAGATCTTGTT